GTTTCAGTTTGTACCACTACTGACAACATTCACTTGGTTAAGGTAGTATCTGCCAGGGCCCTTCCACTACTGTTTACTCTAACCTTCTTTGTAATGAATACTTTGTGAGAAAGTATTTTCAAAGTCTGTAAATATCCTATTCCTCATCAAATTTTTCAATATATTCATTTATTTATATCTGTATGGACTCATTGTTCTCTTTTATTCAATGAGTCTGTTACTATCATTACTGGCCAATAGGAACCTCCTCAAGCTGGCTCATATGCTTTTGACTTGTCTCCAACATTCTCTGAGTACTTCCTTGCTTTCTGGCACAACAAGATGTTCCAGGCTCATATTACACCTTCTCTGTCCCAGCTCTGAAATCAGCATTTCTCTAAAGGAGCTTCGTTTTACTGAAGAACAGTATTTAGAAATGAAAAATTGAGGGCCAGGTATGCTCAATGCTACTAAGTTGTCACAGCTTTCAGGACCTTTCAGTAGACAGAACTCCTTAGTTCACACACACACATACTCACCTATGCATACCTATATATGCATAGGTGTCTGTTTATGTGTACAGATGAATATGTGTGTATGACAAATACATATGCCTACCTTGATCTGCCCCACCAAATGGCTTTAGAATTAAGTCCCTGGTGAGATAAGGAGTAAGAGAGACCAGGCGTACCTGACCATTGCTAAAAATCTTATCAAACAAAAATGTTGCCCTGATTCCACATCCTCCCCCAACTACCATCCCATGTCTTTGAGCTCCTTTACAGAAATACATATTAAAGAAAAACCATTCCCCTCCTTTACCACCACCACAGAAACCTCCTCTTCCCCACCCTTTGCTATCTTTCAATCCTCACAAAACTTTTGTCCTCACCATACCACGGACCTCCAAGTTACCAAACCCAACAATCAATTCTCAGTTGAATTTCCCCTATTTATCAATAGCAACATTTCCTTCGTGAAATACATTCTCCCAGATAGCTCCTTCTCATTGTCCTTTGCTAGACAATCCTCATATTCCTAATCATTAACTGTTGGTATGCCCCAAAACTCAGTCCTAGGATCACTTTTCCACCTGCACTCATTTTACAGTTACTCTCATCCTGCCC